GTACCTAATATATTTAATTTGGTTTTGCAGTTCAGCACCATCCTTGAACTAATGATATTGGAGCTTAGTGCTTTGGCTACTTGGCTATCTGATATGATAGCTAGGCTCTTGTTTTTGTAGATCTCTGGATTGCGTGAATCTCAGCTTGGAAGATAATTCTCCTACCCCTGTACCTTCTTGTGTTCTAGATCCATCTGTGTACCAAAGGATGGTGCCATTCTTGAAGGAGGTGTTTCCCTATCGTTCCCATTCTTTTTTGGTACCTAGATTTATTTGGAAGTTTTGATTAAATTCAAACATCCTGTTCATACTGTCTCTTGGAGCCGTGAGTGAGCAATGTGATGGTCTATTTTTTCGCTTAGTCGGCAACGTTTATGCTTGGACAATCTGGGCAATTCAAAATGGTGAAATTTTAGACGTTGAGAGTGCGGTTAGGTCGTTTCCGATAATATAAAAACGACGATTTCAAAAAATGCGGAACAAGGATATAAGCAGGGCGTTGACCTAACATAAACCCGGCAGTTTGTGAAAAGTTTAAACATGTCTTACAGACCAAAACAGCAAGAATAGACAGACAAAATTAGTCGACCATACTTCAATTCAAAATTAGTTAAAGAAATTAGATACTCCTGGATAAGTTAATGAATAAAAATCTTCAAGGCGTTTGTAAACAAAAAGGCGATTGTAGCCAATTACATTGATTTACCATGTGCAGTCAAAAGTTTTTTGGAAGATCTCCCGATCGAATTGTATCAAATTTATTAAGAAAAGTGGGACAAATGTTTAGTTCTTAAAGCCGAAAACCGTTCCAATCGAAGCCTTTATACGACAAGATCCAATGGAGAATGGTCGGGGACGTAGATTTTCGATTTTGAATTTCTCCCGGTTAGAAGGAACACTCCATTTTCCATGGAGTAGATAACAAATAACTTGTAAGGAGAGTGAAGTGTGATGGAGGTATGTTCTTGTTTGCGACCGTAACAAGGTCGTCCATCGTTCAACAACTAACATATCAAGATTAAGCTAGGATGAAGGAAGCAATCTTGGAAGGAGGCGAACCTTCTATTATACCGCACAAACGACTTGCCCCCCCCCATCCTCTGGCGCTCCTGTTCACATATATATTTTCCATACTTTACTCAACTCCGGCCCGGCTGATTTATCGACCTCATTTTGAATTTATTCCCGGAATTTCCAATTTACGGGCGAGATTAAAACATCTAGAAATTGTAGGTAATTCGATTTTAAGTATTAACAGGCATAAATTTTACACGCTCAATTAATAATGCCGTATCAAGATATTTGAAGTATCAATCATAGTTGGACTTGTTTTTCAATTAAGTGAAGAAAATTTTGTCCAACCAATTTATTATATCCACATTTTCACGTTTTCGAGTATTGTTATGCTGCAAGTGGTAGGGAATTATGTTTTTATCCCTTCACTTTCCTAAAATTTATGCGTTTTAGCCCACACTAACTCTCAAGAGTTTAGAATAGTAGAAATTGCCCAGCAGTTCTAGGGGCTATTACTTTTATCGTACTCTCGATATTCGACTAATTTTCAAGCGGACTTGGATTTGCAGTCAATTTAATTGGTAATTTATTTTTTTGAAGGATCAAGAGAAAAAAAATTCTGTAAGTGAATATAGTTTAGCTTTTTAAATCTTTCAAACTACAGTTGTCGCTCATCGGGCAAAACATCCGACGGTTAAATGGTATTTACCACGCCGCGACATCACTTGTTCGTTATTTATTAAACGATTATTGATGGTGTGGATGAAGACTGATTAATCAAGCTGTTGTTATGTAGAGGGTGGACAGGTTGTCATCCGCTTAATGTATAGCCGATGCCGCTATTCGATTCAAGTTTTTTCACAACTCCACCCTATTGTTGAAAAAATATCAATCATCTTTCGGTGACGATATTTTAAGTAGCTTGGCGTAAATGTGAGTGAAAAATAGAAAGAGACACAGAGAGAGAGAGAGAGAGAGAGAGAGAGAGAGAGAGAGAGAGAGAGAGAGAGATAAATAGCTAGAGGAATGGATAGACGTAGATGAATTTATATATATATATATATTCAGATAGATAGATAGATAGAGGTAGATAGACATAGAGATAGATAGATAGAAAGATAGATAGATAGATAGATAGATAGAGATAGACAGATAGAGAGATAGAGAGATAGATGGATAGATAGATAGATAGATAGATAGATAGATAGAGAGATAGATAGATAGATAGATAGATAGATAGATAGATATATAGATAGATAGATAGATAGATAGATAGAGAGAGAGAGAGAGAGTGAGAGAGAGAGAGAGGTGAGAGAGAGGAGAGAGAGGTGNTATATATATATATAGAGAGAGAGAGAGAGAGAGAGAGAGATGTATTGATAGACGAAGATAGATAAATAGACCGATAGATAGATAGAGATAGATAAATAGATAGATACATAGAAAGATCCAGAAAAATATATAGATCAATTGATAGATGTAGGTAGATATATAGAATCTCAGATAGACAGATGGACATAAAGGAAAGAGGGAGATTAGAGAGAGGGGAGAGAGAGAGAGGGAGAGAGAGAAGGAGAGAGAGAGAGGGCGAGAGAGAAAGAGAGAAAGAGAGGGATAGACAGATAAATAAATAGATGGATTGATAGAAACAGATAGATATATACCTCGTCAGATGAGATAGAGAGAGAAGAGAAAGAGATACAGATAAATAGATAGATGGATCTAACTCTAAGAAATTGGTATGTCACAAATCATTGTTCTCATATTGTTTGCATGAAGTTTTTTTTCTCGAAAAACGTTAAAATTAGTAAACAAATAGTGTATTTGCTGACTCGTACGTTAATAGGGTCTTGCATTCTGCACTTCTACTCAAAATTAAGGAGGAGCTACCAGACTCCGACACCTTGTCAGAGTCATATCTGACCGATAGAACATAGCATCAAACAAGACGACGTCAATTCGGTAACAAGATCTATTCGAGCCGGGGTTCCGCAGGGAAGCAAATGGGGGCCTTTATGTACAATGAGATATATCTGGTCGCAGTGCACAGGATGTTGCCGGCTATATAATCTATCTATGGTGGGGCCTTTACTTGTGCTATCCATGACATCCCCAGATCCAACTTGCAGACGTCCATGTTTGAAGATGATCTTGTTATACTAAGCAGAGGCAAATGGCCGATAGCTTACAAACAATTGGAAAATTTAACAAAATTGTTGGGAATCAACCATGGCATATAAAAATATATCCTCACCAGTCTACCCTAGTTGCAGAATCCTATAGCAGAATATTTTACACGACACCGATAGTCATATCTGTAAATCGGTTACTTGAAATTGATTCCATCAAATATTTAGGTGTCGCACTCGATAAAATATTGACATATTCAAACCATATTTGTTTCGATTAAACGACTTTTGGGGCAAACCTGTCTTCTGAAGCAAAATTGTTCATTTTCATTCTTCAATAAAAGGCTCTTAACCTATCACTTTCTCCAATTTGGCAGTATGCGTACACTTTCCTGGTGTCTGCAAGAGGCTCACAGTTAAAAAGATTCAGGTCCACCAAAATTTAGCGGCTTGGGATATTCGGAACTCTGTAATTCAACGTGATCTAAATATACCATACGCCGCCGAAATAGAGAAAGGAGCAAATGCGAAATTGTATAAAAGAACTGAGCACCCGAATACCATCTTCACTGATTTTGTTCAGTCCCTGCCGCAGGCATGTGAACCTAGAAAGCTAAAAATGAGACATCGTATTGACCTTTCTAATTTAGTATAAATTTAATTTAAAAGTTACAAATTTCGGAAGACAGCCCTGGATTGAAACCTCCATGTAAATTAGCGTTAATGCTACTGTACATGTTTTTCATTATTTGTCAAATTCTATATGACTAAGGTTCAATAAAGTGCTATAAATAATTATTAATAATAATACCATCCAGGGTCGTTTTATTATTCATCCTTTCTTGTGGTTCGCCTTGTTTATTACTGTGCAAAATTAATTGTCTGGAATGCTTTCTATGAAACTTCACTTTAAACATTATATTATAAATTATCTTATTATCGTCGTTTAGTAAATAAAAACGGATACATAAAAGTATTTATAATATAATAAATCTTGTTGTTTTTGTTATGTGTCTTGAAGGTATTAACCTTCAAATATCATTTTGACAGTTATGTCACTGTCATTTGGTCTTTTTGTATTTAATAATTCAGGCGTATTTTCTATTTATGAATGTCACAGCTTTTCAGTTCACCCCGTAGTTTCGTTAGGGATTAATTTCATGCCAACTCTAATGGTTTTGGTTGGTGGAGCGTAAAATCGGGCGTAATTGGATTGCATGCGGTGATCTTTGTATGATTTAATTGTCAGTCGTTATTAACAACATTTAAATTGTGATTTTACACATTCTGAATATTTTTCATTTCAATTGAAAACGAATCGAGGGATGAAATTGATCAAAGATCGAATAATTTCAGTCCGACGTTGGAACGAGTTACATTTCTATTTTGTCCATTATATTTACTGGTCTATTGACCAAATTACTTTTATTTTTATTGTATTACTTTTATTTTTATTACTTTTGTTTTATTTATTATTTATTTTTTCAATTATTTAATCTTTTTATGTAAGGTTTTTGGTCGAAATGGAAAAGTTAGTGTCACGAGCGGGATTCGAACCCACGACCTTTGGCTAAATACGCCGCTGCTCTACTGCTTGAGCTATCGTGACTTGGATCCACTCGGAAACCAATCCCCATCTCAACCTACAATCTTTCGAATTTTCCCTCTTTTTTCCATTTTTCAAGGATGAGTAAAACGAAGTATAGCTAACTAACATCTCCCCGTAGCCACTTCATATGTCGCCGAGAATCGAATTTGTGAGCAGCGGCGTATTTAGACGAAGGTCGTGGGGTCGAATCCCGCTCGTGACACTAACTTTTTCATTTCTATTTTGTGTTTAACTATTTTAACACTTACATCCACTTGTACATAAGGCAGTGGGAATACTCGAGTAGGAGGAGCTTCTTTCGGCACGTATCTGTAAAATTCTTGGTCTCCTTGATAGAATTTCACCGAGTAGAGCTGCACCCCTTCAAGATCGTAGTAGCAGAAGATGTGGAGCGTAGAACCGGCTTTGACGGCTCTCGGGATTTTCAGCATCACATCTCTAAGACACAGAAGACCTGTAACAATCAATTTATAAGCGTCAGTTTTAGGTAGTTCACAAATAATTAAACTATCAGTGAAAACATGATCCCGTTAATGATTTATCTGCATTTTTTAACCAAATGACAGACCATTTAAGACATGAATTATTACAATTGACTTTTTTTTGTGATGGACGTATGAAGGGGATGGTTGTTCCTAGACCTATTGTTGCTGAGCTTTATCCTCAAAAGTCATTACTCGACGGTTGTGCTCAAATAGTCGGCCCGTATAAGCAGTTTGTATCCGTTTTTTTATAATCGCGATTATGCCTAGTCATTAAAAACAGAATAACTAATTTATAAAAAATATATTCGTCGGCCAGTCACTTATTGTTCTCCCATGTGGGGAAATACTGTAGTATTTTTAATTAAAATATGGTGCACCTCAATAACTCTATACGCAAATTAATTATTCGTTTTATGTAAGGCTTAGGTTGAGGTAAAAAGTCAGTGTCACGAGCGGGATCGAACCCACGACTTTCGGCTAAATACGCCGCAGCTCTACCACTTGAGCTATCGTGACTTGGATCCACTCGGACACCAACTTCCGATCTCAACCTCACCTTTTGAATTTCCCCCCTTTTTGCCATTTTCAAATGTCAGCGACTTATGAAGTGGCCACGGGGAGATGTTAGTGAAGTGATACTTCTTTTACTTATTAAATATTAATCCACTTACCTTTTAGTGATCAATTGATCAAGTTACTTCTTTCAATTAATTGTTCTTTTTATGTAAGGTCTTGATTGAGATAAAAAAGTCAGTGTCACAAGCAAAAAGAGCGAAAATTCGAACCGTTGTAGGTTGAGATGGAGTGTTGGTGTCCAAGAGCAGAAGCAATTATGAAGCGCATAATTTGTATATTATTTATTGCCTGGCTCTTGCGATGCTAGGATTTGTAAGAATATGAAAGACACGGAAGAAAAACTGGATTTTTTTTACTGAAATCGAGATTCTGAAAAACATTCATGAGAATGATTTGAAACAAAAACTGGGGAGTTGATCCAACGATTTCCTTATTAATTAATCAACCATCAGGTCGCTGATCGATTACGGATGTGCACTATATGGACAAGCTAGGAAATCCCTCCTAAAAAAGTTGGATTTGTTACAAAACAAATCCATTAGATTGAGCTTAGGATGACTTCAATTCACTCCTATAAATGTTCTTGAGAGATAAGCAAGAGTCATGCCTCTTAGAATTATTTTACGGATATTGGCCTTTCATCCAGATATATCAAAAGATATTGGCAGATTAGCTGTTGACTCTTGGAAAATCCATAAGTCAACAAAAACAGAAGAAGAAAAAGACATAGCACGATCAAAATGCATTAACACGATAACAAATCAGTTACAACACCTCACTACAAATCAATACAACATATCTCAATAAACATACACCAAAACCAAAATTTCTCAAAAATAATTCGGACATACTCCTTCTTTCTGTTGATAAAACAAAACAAACAGTAGCAATCAGCAAAAAATAATACGAGGGAAAAATTAACAAAATTATCAACGACGCAAACACATACAGCGCAATCAAATCAGACCCTACACCTTCTCTCATCAAATAGACAAACAAAATCCTTCAACTTAAACTAAAAGAAATTGGCATGTACACCTACAAATCACTTCAAAACAATTTTCCAATGCCCCCGAAACTATACGGATCAATAAAAACACATAAACATTCATTTGTAAATTCCCTTACATACATCATGACAAAATTCCCTTACATACTCAACAACATAAAAAAGGCACTCTCAACACGACACCCAATAATGACACATCTACACGGAAAACAAACATTTGAGCCCTGAAGATGATCGAAACGTTGGCACGATAAAGCTAACGTTTTTATAAAACCTACGTCACACCAAATAATCGCCAAATAATTATATATACAGGGTGAATTGCTACTCGTGCTACAAACTTCTCCAGTAGATTCTTCACCCTAAAATGAACAAAAAAGTTCATATTGTCCATGGTCCGATTCTCAACCATTTCAGAGTAATTTCGCTTTTTATCGATTTTGAAAGATATCACGTCCTGGCGTCGGAAAATCGTGATATCTTTTAATCTAAACATTTCTCTGAAAATCTAATAGCACCGTTGAAATTCCCGTTAATTTTTCAATAAGAAGATGACGGTGGCAAAATGTTTGGGCTAATTTTTTGTGTTTTATTTCAGCCAGAACTACAAAAAGAGTGGAAAATTGTGTAAATCGGAAAGTGTATAAAGTAATCCAGAGTTTCTAATTTTAGTCTCAGAAGGCAGCAAATTTGAGGAAAACTACCTGATTTAATAACGCTTCCAACGCACTCGTCATTTTCTTATTTAGTGGTTGTGAGACCAAGATGTTGATGACAAAAAGAGAAAAAATGGTGGTTCAAGGATTGCTAATGTTTGAGAGTGACTTGCTACTCGTGCTACAAACTTCACCAGTAGATTCTTGACCCTAAAATGAACAAAAAAGTTCATATTGACCATGGTCCGATTCTCAACCATTTCAGAGTAATTTCGCTTTTTATCGATTTTGAAAGATATCACGTCCTGGCGTCGGAAAATCGTGATATCTTTTAATCTAAACATTTCTCTTAAAATCTATAAGCACCGTTGAAATCCCCGTTAATTTTTAGAGAGAATCAAAATCATATACATATATATACATATATATATATAATGAGGGTGGCCACTTTTTTGCCTCTGTGTATATACATTAACAAGTTTTGAACTGCTTCAAAACGTCTTGAATCTTACATACGTCATACATCATTGATAAGTTGTAATATGTCAATATTTGACTTATGTAAACACATAAAAATCTCCACTCCCTATTTATAACAATACAATAATAATTATTTATTCTTGTTTTTATTATCCTTCTTCTTTCCTTATAGATTCTTTCCTTTTATTTATTCATTATTTTTAAGCCATTTTTGAACGTGGGTATATAACCTCTATAAACAGGCAGCCTTAAAAATCTGTTATTTTTTCTTCGTTATTGATGACGTATCTTTTTAGCGTTAAGAGCATTTGGACGGACAATTCAGAAACTTATAAAAACCACTTCAACACTACTGCTCGTAACCGAACAACAAACCCTATAATTTCTTCTCTTGGCTCCAAGATATCTAAGGAAGGATAAAACTAAGACTAGTAGAAGAACGTCTGGATGTAAATGCGTTGTGGTTTGTGAATTTTAGTTTAAATCTTTAAATGAGATGGTTGAGGGAAGGGAATCAACGACGTAAACCAAATGACGTGCTAATCTGAAAAACCTCTCATAAAAGCGTCTAAAAAAGACAAATACAAAATAGAAAACTTAATATTGTACGGGGAAAGAAAAGGGATGGAACGTACATTTATTGAAATATTTCCATAGTCTAAACAAAATTCTGCATATAGTTCTTTTTTATATTTGTATAAATTTTTATTGTTATATTAGTTAATAGATACCTAGTTAGGTAGAAATAAGCGTAAGCCTAGATAAGAAAGAAGCCAAAGATGTGGCCCCGCGTGGTGAGGTGGGGCCTGGGTGTGGCGACGGCCACAGTGTGCGCTTTTTCTGCATACAAAGCTTTCCAAGAAATTAAAAGACTCTCTTCAGACTTGCCAGAATTTTACCTTCGACAAGACTTAGAACGACGTCGCGATACAAGACGGTTCGCTAATTCACGCCAAGAAAGGGAGGATACTTTTTTAGCCGATGCATCGACCGACGAAGACGAAGATGCACAACGTGCAGGAACTACCAGAAGAGTTATATATCATCGAACAGCAAACATAGAAGATTCTCCCAACATTCTAGAAGGAATTTACCCACGTCCTGAAGTCGATCGATATAGGCCAAGTAGAGCTGAACGTAGCCCTATACTAACCGCAATACTAGAGCAACAGCGGTCCTCTACAGTGCAAGAAGAAAACAACGACCAAGAAGCTAGGTACTTTAAGTAAATTTTAACTTTAAATATTCCCATTGTATAACTTTTACGTCATTTCAGTTTAAGCACCGATATTGAAACCCCAGCAAGAAACGAAGATAATGCTGAGATGCCGAACACTGAAAATCAACCGAGGTACTGTTACTAAATTTGAACTTTAAATATTCGTATTGTAACTTTCACGTCCTACAGTTTAAGCACCGATATTGACAACCCAGCAAGAAACGAAGATAACTTTGAGATGCCGATCACTGAAAATCGACTGAGGTACTGTTACTAAATTTTAACTTTTAACATTCTTATTGCATAACTTTTACGTCCCACAGTTTAAGCACCGAAATTGAAACCCCTGAAAGAAACGAAGATTACTCTGAGATGCCGATCACTGAAAATCGACTGAGGTACTGTTACTAAATTTTAACTTTAAATATTCCTATTGTAACTTTCACGTCCTACAGTTTAAGCACCGATATTGATAACCCAGCAAGAAACGAAGATTACTCTGAGATGCCGATCACTGAAAATCGACTGAGGTACTGTTACTAAATTTTAACTTTTAACATTCTTATTGTATAACTTTTCCGTCATACAGATCCACAAATATGAATGAAACGGAAGAATCGGAGGAGCACAGTTCTGAGATTAGTGATACTAATCTCAGAAACAGGTACTGTAACTAAATTTTAACTTTCAATATGCCAATTATATAACTTCTTATAATTACAATAATATATTATTTTCATTTTTAAATTATATAGAAAAGCGAAAAACTAAAGGAGCGGGGTGGGCAGGGAGCAAAGGTTTCCATGCGGAGACCTACCGTCCAATGTAAGAATGAAAGCTGCTCCCTGCCCACTGTAGAGACGAACGGACGGAAAAGAAAAAGACGTAAGCAATTCTAACTAATATTTCACTCACTTTATCTCTTTATAAAGAAGCAACAACCTTTACAACCTGGAGAACCGAAATGGCGAATCTCATGGATCTTAGGGTTTTTTTAAAAAACAAACTGGAATTGTCCCATGTGTGTAGGAGATAAGTTAAAGATAAACAGTAACTTTCTTTCCCGCTCCATCCTTCCTTGATAAAGGAATGGAGAACGGTTCCCCGGAGATGCCAGCCACAGTTTCTGGCATCTATCCCTACCAATAAAGTAATAAAGTACAAAGTCTTGTCCAATAGTTTTGCAGTTTTCAGATGCAGAGCTAGCATTATATTATAAGTCAAGGTCAGCACAATAAAAAAAGGTTTTATGAGGATGGTCTCGAGGATTTGATTAAGAACTTTTTTTTCGCGCATCTCACGATCTCCAAATAATCATTAAATAACCGTCACTAAACACCACACATTTATGCGTGTAACTTATTTACACATTTTTGATAGTTAAGAGCGTTGACCTAGGGTTTAAAAAAATATTCTTCCTCGTTTTCCCTGTATTTGTTAACATTGAACAATGATGGTACAAACTAAGCACTGGGACAAAATTACAATGTTAATTATGTATTGTACTGTTTGAGAGTTGTGTTTTTCCTGCAACCCATTTTCTTAAGAATATATTTTTACATCTATGTATTTGTATGATACGCGATGAAAATATATTATAACGATATATAATATTAGGCTGAAGTGTTTTTTTAAATATATTATTTATAACTGTTTAATCATACACAAAAGTTGTTTTTTTTCTAAGACTTATAATAGTATTTTTTTTGTTTAAATGAACGTTTGGAGTTACAATTCAATCACTTATTTATGTTAATATTAATAGAAATTTTCAGTAAAATTTTGGAGGTTGTAGGTAAGACCATCTGTTATGAAATTGCTGTCTCATAAGAAGATGTGGTACATACATACATCAAGAGTAAGATTTGTATAATACGTGATGTGTCGGACCCCTTGAGCATCACGTATATCACTCTCTTGTTACGACAAACTCTATCTAAACGAGCAGGTCTTATCTGAGACATTGAGAAAGAAGGGACTATGATTGAGAATGACATAAATCTTTTGTCACTCTTCCGTCCCTTCGCGAATTTTAATTCAGATAAGTACGTATTTTAACAAATGAACAAAAACATAAATAACTCATGTGTTAATTTTTTTATTTTCCTTTGAGACAACAGTATATGAATGGTCATGAACATCCCGGTAAGACAAAGGTATCCTATGATATTTCCAGTTATAAATGGCTCGTTACATTTTTTCGGTGCGTTTTATTTCGGTTGCGCTTTGTACATGCACTTCGTTCACCTCCGGGTTGTCGTCGCTAATGGATTATTGCTGTTCCTCCATGGTACGAAGTTCATAGGAATCTGGAGCGCTGTCGCACAGTTGGTGTATCTTTTGTACTGTACGGGTCTAGATTTGAAGAACATCGTAAAGCCCGAAGACTCGCCGGACGCTTCGACAGTCGTCAAGGACTTCATCCAAACTAGTCTAGTTTTCCCATCTTCGTTGGTGTCGAGCGTCTCTTTTTGGATATTCTTCTGCATCAACAAGAACATGATATTCAAGAACGGCGAGAACCGTTCACCGTTATGGATAACGCATTTGATATACTCTTACAACATAATAATACAAATTCTGGAGATGGCGACTTCTTCACGAAATTATCCGAACAACACTGCAAGTTTTATTGGGATTTTTTCCTTTTTCGTCGCGTACGTCTTCTGGACGCACTTAGTCCATTGGTATACTGGAGAATGGTCGTATTACATATTAGAAAAAATGAACTTACCAGTGAGAATTTTATTCTTCATTTCTTTTTACATTTTGCTCCATACAGGATACGTACTCGGGTACTTGTTTAATTCTATGCTGTGGGGTTCGGACAACGAAAGAAAAATTCGCCCTAGAACTGAAATAACTATTGTGATATAAACAATTTCTGTCGAGCTCACAAATGCCATTGTTTTAACAATAAACACATGATTTTAAAGAGGACTCTGCCTATTTACATTTTAAAAAAAATAGAAGTATTTCAAATAAACTTGTAAAAAAGGGATCAAAACCTGTGTAATTTTTAAAATGCTACTATACAACTGATTCGAGTCGGGGTGTAAGAAAAGAAAACTGTCTGGACATCAAAAAATAACCATTCACGTAAATATCATTAAGACCAGACATTGAAAAACCTACGTAAAACAAAAGTTCTTAAAAATATTAATATTAGTCCAAACCAAAAGCACTATATCAAGCATATTTTTTCTCTCACAAAACTAGAATAATATTTTTCTATGTATTCAAAATTTAATATTGCCAAGAGAAGTGTGTCTTACCCTCTTTGATCAAAGAGTATGCGGATGACATTTTTAATTACGCTGCTCCTTGAATTTTCGTTAACCCGATCGTATCACCTTCATTTGAATTTCTAAAATCATGATTAACACTTTTAATACTCACTTATTTTAATTTATGTTTTTAATTAAGTAAAATTGTTAAAAAATACGTATTTATGGCGACAGTGCGACACAGCGTACATATATTAGATACATTATGGACAGGGAATAGAGGTGGCCACAAGGTTTTCTGCACATCGACCTGAGTGGATCTATTGTGCTATTGTAGGCCTCCGTAGCCTTGCCTGCGACCCCTTAGTGTATGATTTTGCGGCTTTTCCTCTTCTATTGGGTTGTCCGGAAAATAATGCAGGATTTTGGTATTAAACAAAAAAAAAGAAACTAGTTACTTTAAAGCAATGTTCTTTAATCAAAATAATTTCCCANGAGTAATCCTGTAAACGTAAACAGAATATTTTATATAGATTTTTTTTAATGAAAACTTAAAATCCTGCATTATTTTCCGGACAACCCGATAGTTTCAGTAATCTACACCTACATAAACCCTCAAAGAAACATAAAACTTGTTCTGCGGTCTCCTCTTCTTCATGGCAGTGTCTGTGTTTTTGTTTTTCGGTCTGCACTTCTATCCGGTGCATGTGTCCTGGTTCTGTGGCGGCTACCATTCAGTAATCCCTGTTTGGCGGAATGAATGCCCTTCTATGAAGCCCTTCCCGTCCCTCTTTCCTGGAATATTGCTCCACCAGGTTTTGGAGTCATTGAGGATCTATTTTTGTGGCCAACATGACCACTTTCTCATTGCCTGTGGGTACCGAATGCCCAGAGGTCCATGCCAGAGTCAGGTCATTAGTGGTACTGACTTCTATCAGGGATTTAATACAATTCCATACTAAGGCCTTATCTGCCCGCTGACTCATAGAGGACGGCTATCTTCCTGGAATGTGTTCCTGGGCTATTTATTTCTCTGGTACAGTGTTCAATTGCTATGGTTTCAGACTGGAAACAGTACCTATGTTTAAAGTCAGTTCGGTCTTCCGATTCATCCCGAGAACTCCAGCTCCCGTCTATCCGTTTCTGATCCGTCAGTAAACCGGCAGGAATTGGTACAGACATTAAATGACAACTAACATTTTAATTTATTAAAAGGATAGTAAGTTTTAGTATGAAAATACGTGCAATACCAAATTTCAAATAGTCGATATGTTGCATACAGGGTGACGCGTATGAGTATATGATAAAATAACGTCAGCGTTATTTTATGAGCCAAAATGGTTAGGTATGATTAGTTATGGGCCATGAGAAGTTATGAGCTAAACATGTTTTCAAATTTTTAATTGTTATTCCAGTGGAAACCCGTTTATCCGGACCCGTTTGTTAAAATATTTTTTATAAATTATTTGGAGATCGTGAGATGCGGTCTGATGGTATAGCCCCACGACTCCAAATAATCATTAATTAGCAGTCACTAAACACCACACATTTTTAATAAATTTTTCATAATTCTCAATGTATGTATATCAAGTTTTTAAATTCATAATTCAACTATGGGACCTTTAATTCGTCGTTCGAAATTCGTAAATGCCACCAAATCGCCCTTCCTCTAGTCACACGATCGAAAAGTCCGGTGAGGCACGTTTTTGTTAAAAAAATAAATAAAAAGAAAAAAAGGTGTATACTACTTTAAAAGACGGGAAATTGTTGTATCGTGTTGTTCGTATGTGGGCTGCCATTGAAAAGTTTTTTTTTTCGAGAAACGCCTGTCCGGACTTAAAGAAAAATAAAACTAATAAATACTATCTATTACTTTAAATGTTACTTGATATATGAATAAAAGTGTTCACTTTTATATGTGTGTTTTTTCCCGTTTTTATGACACGATACTAATAAAATCACAAATTTTCAGATTATCCGGACTTTCGATCATCCGGACAAGTCCCGGTCCGTTCAAGTCCGGATAAACGGATTTCTACTGTATTAATTTTTATAATTAATTACATTTTACTGGATCTCGCTTCTGACTCCATACTGTAGAACAAAATGACACGGTAAAATTAAAAAATAATGTTGTATTTACGAAAAAGAAAAGATTTTCGGGAAGCACAGAGATAAATCTGATGTGTGGGAGTGCCAGAGTTAGGTGCCAAGATTAGAGAAGATTTTTCTCTATAAGACAAAGACTAAGGCGGGCAAAGACCAACTTAAAGCTTTAATTAAAAAAAAATCTGTGAGAACCCCGCTTACCAAGGCAAGCCAATTTCATCAAGCACACCCAACTCGACTAACTATATTCAGCATTCAAAGAAAAGACGTTTGCGTTAGTGAATAGAAATTTCCAAGTCTTTTATTAGAACGCAACGGTTCCTTGATCATTGGCCCATAGGACACCATAGCGTAGGTATAGACGTCGATAGTTAACAACATAAAAATAAAGAAAAAACATGAAAAGTCGTACATGTCACCATGCCGAGCGAGAACGTTACTGCCCAGTGTACAAAAAAAATTAACAATAATTTTTTTAAGATCACTTATGATTTATGACAAATTTTTAGAAAATAACATTTTTTTCTTTCGAAAGAAAATAAATTGCATCGTGATCTACTGTTTTTGCTGGTAGTTTTAACGAGATTTTTATTCCTATCTTACACCCCCTGCCAAGTCGCTTTGAGTTAAAAAAAAGGAAAAGACTCTTCCCGGCTAATCCGGACCTACCACGGAATGTTCAATCAAATCCTGGCATTTTTTCTTTTCCAGCCCGCTAGTTTCAAGGATCCTAGACCTAATCTCTGATGTTTTTGTCAAAGAAGATTAAACTCGAAAACTATTGAAAGTTCATGCGCAAGAAAGCTTTTTGGGAAAATGAAACAGTTTTATTACTATTGACTAATTAATCTTTATGTAAGGTATTGGTTAAAATAAAAAAGTCAGCGCCACGAGCGAGATTCGAACCCACGACCTTCGGCTAAATACGCCGCTGCTCTACCACCTGAGCTATCTTTGACTTCGATCCACTCGGACACCAACTTCCCATCTCAACCCCACCTTTTGAATTTCCCCTCCTTTTTGCCATTTTTCAAATGTCGTGTAATCTATTTAATTTTAAAATTATTAAACAGTGATATGTCATGTTTTCATTTTAATGAGAAAATATATTATGCTTTTCGATGTATTTCATTCATATTTACTTGCTTATATTACATTAAAATCATCTTTAATAAAATGAAGTTTGCTTAATAAAAAATATGTCATATGGAATCATAATTTAGTCAATGTTCATTAGATTTCGTGGTCCGACTGACCAAATAACATATATCAATTAATTAAACTTTATGTAAGGTGTTGGTTGAGATAAAAAAAGTCAGCGCCACGAGCGGGATTCGAACCCACGACCTTCGGCTAAATACGCCGCTGCTCTACCACTTGAGCTATCGCGACTTGGATCCACTCGGACGCTTGCGACGCTGACTTTTTTACCTCAACCAATACCTTACATAAAGATTAATTAATCGAAAGATGTTATTTGGTCAATCGGGCCACGAAATCTAACGAATTTAATAAGTTAAATGAAGTATACCTTCACTAAAGCTCTCCGTGGCCATTTCATTTGTCGCCGAGAATCAAATAGATTACACGACATTTGAAAAATGGCAAAAAGGAGGGGAAATTCAAAAGGGTGGGGTTGAGATGGGAAGTTGATGTCCGAGTGGATCGATGTCACGATAGCTCAAGTGGTAGAGCAGCGGCGTATTTATCCGAAAGTCGTGGGTTCGAATCCCGCTCGTGGCGCTGACTTTTTTATCTCAACCAATACCTTACATAAAGATTAATTAATTGATAGATGTTATTTGGTCAGTCGGACCATAAAATCTAATAAACATTGACTAAATTATGTTCTATCAATAATTTTTTATTAAGCAAACTTTATTTTATTAAAGATGATTTTAATGTAATATAAGCAAGTAAATATGAAATACGTCGAAAAGCATAATCTATTTTCTCATTAAAATGAAAACATGACATTTTAACTGTTTAATAATTTTAAAATTAAGAACAGCCTGTATAGTATTTTATTATTGTACCATTTGGCCATTTTATCTTGAAAGTAGAAGACAAACTCACTACTGTTTCAATCGTGATAAACATGATAGGTCACTGAAGCTACTATTTCAAGTTTACAAGGGTACTACCAGGTTGGTAAGTCACGGATTTGGACCAAACTTTTTTGTTGTAGAGGAGCTAAAACGAAATTTCATATTAGTATCACGAAAATATTAGAACCTAGTTTACTTGAAAAATAGTTAGTTTTTAGAAATGTTTTGGTTATTGATAAACTTTGGTAGCTTTTAACATATTTTTATTGCAATCTACATAAGAAATGCTGCAAAATGATATATTCAGATAGATGATTTGAGCAAGAAGAACGAGAAAATAAAAATATTAAAAAAACGGAAAATTTCAAGTTTTAAATTTTTTTGGCAAAACAGAGGCCTATTCATAAGAATTGGCGTATACCTGACCGATCTTTTGAAGTATAGAATCTCCAGAAAAGTTTGGTCCAACTCCGTGACCCATCAACCTGGTCGGCTCCTTGTTGGTTCACAGATTTTATATAGTGACTCCATA